CAAACCTGATGAAGAAACAAACTCATCCTGATCTTGGATGACCTTTTTTGGTGTGATTCCTGTATAAGTACTATATAAGATCTCAACACCCAGTTTTTAGAAATACCGTTTCCATCCAGCGCCCCGATATTCTCTGAACGCCCCGTTAAGAAATGCTGCACTAGAAGATTATCATCAAGATTTGCACATGCCTCAAAAAATACTAAACCACATGTTGAGGAAAGGGCTGTGTGCATTTAAATAATAAGAATATAATGCCAACAATTTGAGTGGAAAAGTTCATGCTGAAAGAGCACGTATAATTGCAGAAAATAAATTTATAAAACATGCATTAAAAAAGGAAAGCAGCAACACCGTAAACAGACCTTTCAACTTCACACATGCCAATTTCCACAGGAGCTGTCATCCAATTAACTGCTGGAAACAACACCGCGTCTGGCCATCCTCACCCACACAAATCAACCAATTAACTAATTACATGAATATCTGACGCTGCTGTATTTACCAGCCAATTATTTCCGCTCGGCTGCACAGAGGTGGCGAGCGATCGCTGAGAAGTTCTGCTCTGGTTTCTGACATGACTACAGAGAGAAACTTGTTGGCACAAACGTCGAGGTTTGTGTACTTGTGCACTTTGCGTGTTGTGTGGGCAGCTGTCTCGTAACAACAGATCCCCTCCTTTAAACTGGTTTGAATGTCTTCTGTCAACCTTGCGATTACCCACAATCCTCCTTCAAGCGTTATTACGGGATTATAATTTATATCGCCGCTCATCGCTGGTGACGAGTGAGCAGATGCCAAATGCGTGAGCACCATGATAAATTCACAATGGGAACCCATTTACAGTGAGTTTAAGTTAAAGACAATTTGTTCACGCCGTTTGCAGCACTGTTCATTTCTACATTTTTAACATTGTATACTGTATATTGTACTGTGAACAAGCATGAGATAATGTGTGAGCCTGCAGCACAAAAGCAGTGTTAAGTCGCTGGGGGATATTTGTAGCAATAGCCAACAATACATTGTATGGGTCACAATTATACATTTCTCTTTTATGCCAAAAATCATTAGGATATTAAGTAAAGATCATGTTCCATGAAGATATTTTGTAAATGTCCTACTGTAAATATATCAAAACTTAATGTGTGATTAGTAATATGCATTGCTAAGAACTTCATTTGAACAACTTTAAAGATGATTTTCTCAATATTTAGATTTTTTTGCACCCTCAGATTCCAGATTTTCAAATATTGTTCTATCCTAACAAACCATACATCAATGGAAAGCTTATTATTCAGCTTTCAGATGATGTATATACCTGAACTAATAAAACTTATAACTGAGTTTTGTGGTCCAGGGTCACATATGAATTATAGAATATTCCTAAATTAACATTTACCTAGATTAATTATTGCTGCAAAAGAAATCTTCATTGTTATTTTAGGACACAGTGCATTAACTACTGAAATGAACTGAACCTTATTGTTACCTCACAATGATTTTTATTCATTTCTGTGAATTAGTTCAAATTGTTTGCATGATTGATTCAAAAGTCTGATTTAAAATTAGTTTGTGTCGTTCAAAAATGTTCACACAATTTCAGTATTTTAATGTTTTAGTATGAATGTAATGTAGGTAAATATTGTATTGTTTAGTGCATAGAAAATAATTTAATATTTTTGCATTAAATATTCTAAATCTATACATGTACAGTGGTTGTTCGGCAGAAATACAAAGGTAACTGTAACTATTATTTTTATCACACAGTCGAGTTTCTCGCGTCATGCCCTCTAAAGCGCGTGTATTTCCACCTGTGGTGTATGTGAATGTATAACACAGCTCTGTCACCCAACACACACACACACACAGCTCAGCCCGCGGCCCTGACCCATGAAACCCATGAAAGCCACAATTACTGCAGCGCTCCCTGACGGCCCGCAGCAGTGTAAGTCCATCCCAACCCTCTCATTTCTAATTACCGCCGCCTGAGGCCAGGTGAAAAGCAAGTGGTGATAACATCTTCTCTTCTACCTGTAGCCAAGCAGAAAACACACAGCTCAGTGTGCGCACATAATTACACTCTTCCAGACATGTGGGGAATTTGCTTTTAGAGGAAGATTTGTCAAGAGCCAGCGCTGCTGTCGGGGGTTTGGAGGTAAGCCGTGCCGGCGGATCGCTCAGGGCTCATTTGGACAAGCATTTCCGCGTCGGGTGAAATTTAACATTCCTTCAATACGCACACGGATCCGGTGTGTGCCGGTCTGAACAAACAACAAAAACACAAAGATCCTCTCAAGTGTATTTCTGTCTCCTGCAGCTCATGTGAAAGGTTTAAAACACAGACGGTGTGATCGCTCATATTCACACACCGAATTATCTGCTTAAAAACACATTTAGAAGAGCGCAGATAAGACACGGGATGGGATTTGGAAAAAAGGGATTTTGGTAGAAAAAACAAGAGGTAATCCCAATGCATCTGAAACCCTTCAAATAATAGAAAGGGACAGAAGATTTACAACTCCACATGTATATTCGAATCATTCAAGCTTTAAAACTGAATATAAACATTACATGTAAAACAGCTACTGGGTTATAACACTCTACACTCCATTAGTGTAAACCACAAACAAATTCATCATTTCAAAATAAACACATACTTTCAGGGGGGAAAAAAACATTTTGGGGTCTTTGCACATTATTTATTTCATAGTAGTACCTTAAGGGCACATAGTACTACTTCAAGGTACTAATAAGCGCCTTTTAGGGGTAGATAAGGTACAAAGGTGTCATCTTAAGGGTGTTGCCCCAGTGACAAGCTGCAATTTTAGCAGATTTTTTTTTTTTTTTTTTTTAGCAGCATGTACCTTGACATTCATGTGCAGTTTTATAAATGACACCGGTAGACAGCACTCCGATGTTAATTTAAAAAGACGAAATCATAAATGTGTGTTAAGACAGGGTCATATTTACCATTGCTCAGTGCAATTTTGCAGCTGAAATTATGTAGGACCAGACATGGCAAAATACCATGAGTGAAATACAGGAATAATGACGATAAAAGAAACATTGCTTTTTATGAATCATTTTATGATTACGAGTAGACACCGCCAGAATGGCTGCTTTTTTTGGTAACTTTCTTCACCCATAGAGAGGTCATAAGAGCTTTATGTTTTATCAGATCATAATTAAAAAACTAATACTTCCCAACTGTAAATCCTAACTGGATGAGCCACGTTTGAATACACAGTCTGTGGCACACATTCTATAATGGGGCAGGTGATGACGGTGCTTGACAATCGTAAATGATCTACTCTGTTATACTGTTATATTGATTATGCTGATGTGTTCTGGTCTGTTATTAATAAATTAAGCTACTTATTGCATATAGGTGTCTTTTATTATGTTGTGCTTGCCAATGTGTGTTACAGTAATGTTACACTGATGATCCAGAGATTTTCCAAAGATTTTACAGGATGTTACAATTATGTTACGGAGATGTTACAATGGCATTGCAGAGATGTTATAGTGATCCTACAGAAATGTTACGGTAATGTTGCAGAGATGTTAAAGTGATCCTGCAGGGATATTACGGTGCTACAGAGATGTTACGGTAATGTTACAGAGATGTTACAGTGATCCTACAGAGATATTACGGAGCTAGAGATGTTACAGTGATCCTACAGAGCTATTACGGTGCTACAGAGATGTTATGGAAATGTTAGAGATGTTACAGTGATCCTACAGAGATATTATGGTGCTATAGAGATGTTACTGTAACGTTGCAGAGATGTTAAAGTGATCCTGCAGGGATATTATGGTGCTATAGAGATGTTACGGTAATGTTAGAGATGTTAAAGTGATCCTGCAGGGATATTACAGTGCTATAGAGATGTTACGGTAATGTTACAGAGATGTTACAGTGATCCTACAGAGCTATTACGGTGCTACAGAGATGTTATGGAAATGTTAGAGATGTTACAGTGATCCTACAGAGATATTACGGAGCTAGTTACAGAGATGTTACAGTGATCCTACAGAGATATTATGGTGCTATAGAGATGTTACGGTAATGTTACAGAGATGTTACAGTGATCCTACAGAGATATTATGGTGCTATAGAGATGTTACGGTAATGTTACAGAGATGTTACAGTGATCCTACAGAGATATTATGGTGCTATAGAGATGTTACGGTAATGTTACAGAGATGTTACAGTGATCCTACAGAGATATTATGGTGCTATAGAGATGTTACGGTAATGTTACAGAGATGTTACAGTGATCCTACAGAGATATTATGGTGCTATAGAGATGTTACGGTAATGTTACAGAGATGTTACAGTGATCCTACAGAGATATTATGGTGCTATAGAGATGTTACGGTAATGTTACAGAGATGTTACAGTGATCCTACAGAGATATTATGGTGCTACAGAGATGTTACTGTAATGTTGCAGAGATGTTACAGAAATGTTACAATCAAGTTAGGTTGTTAGATTTTATGGCGATGTTTCAAATGTATGTGGTCGTGGTCAAATCACTTAACCTACTTAACGTCACTTATGATTACATTTATTCTGTGTTTTACGCTAGTTTCAGCCCTGCGTCACCTGAAGGTCAGAAGTCTAAGAATAGGATCGTTGTAAAACCTCAATGGTAGCTGGACTGCTCAAGTCCTGCCTATCACCCACCGTACGCTGCCACTTTGATGAGGAGGGCTTGGAGGCCACTTGATATGATCTCTCTGAGCAGCTCGGCCTGGTCTCGGCGCCACAGGTACGCCAGCGGCTGGAGCTGCAGTCTCGCACACCTGCAGAGAGAACCACAGCATCAAGCCGGGAAATAAGAGAAACCAGGGGCGTAGAATTAGATGTGGGGGACGTTAGGGACATGTCCCTACCAATATCCAGCGACTACCAACTTGTCCCTAGCAATAATTTTGATCAAACAATTAAATATATGTATATGTTTTTGTAATTTCGGATGCATCTAAATATGTCATACCATTGATATTACCTAAGAAGTTAAAGCAAATACGTTAGAAAACTGTGTGCATTCAAGGACGCACATTTAATACATGGGCGGAGTAAGAACGCATGGTAGTTGCACGCTGGACGAGAAGCGCAGACGCGTTTAGAAGACAGCAGTCCAAAACAGTTAAAATAGAAGTTAACTTCAGGAAGTTGTGCCGATAAATTTGATATACAGTGTTTGACAAAACAGAGCAAACGGAAAAAGAAAGCACGATCTATGGCTATTATTAGCTCTCTATATAAAGCATACTGACAGAAAGACAAATGTTGTGCTGAAAGATGCACAATAAACAATTGCCTAACTTTTACAAACTTCCAGCCTAGGATGAAGTCATTATGTACACTAACAATAAGCTCAATGCCAGCGTCACAGGTCAAACTGAGTGCTCGGGTGATTAGGGCGTTTAGCACGACACGGTCGTGCCCCACGGCATTACAGGCTGTCAGGTATACAGATGGGGTTACACCATTTACCCCGCGGTATCAGCGGAGGAACAATAGCTGACTGACAGCTCAAGTGAAGGAAAAATGGCTGCAGAGACCAAGACTGAGCGGTGTCGAAGTGAAAAACACATTCACAGCATGTTTAATGAGTTTGCGGTGTCCATTTAGTGTTCAGAGTCACTGGTAGTTTGGCATCCTAAAGAGTGAAACTCTGTGACACTTTCACAACATTGATTTGTTTGAGCAAATGTCTGAAAGAACCTATAGAAGGAGTTTGGGGCGGAACTTTCTGTTTGACTGACCAATGAAAGACAAGAGCAGTGTTCAAGAAACAGCCGATTGCAATTTCATTCAATGACACTTCAACAAATATTATATAGTTATGTGTTCAGATTTTTATTAAAACAAGATTCTTTGAGCATGAAAGTGTGACATATCTTATTAATTTACACTGTACAATTGTTTAAAAGTTTGAGCTTTTATTTTATTAATACTTTTATTCATCAAGGATGCATTAAATTGATCAAAAGTGACAGTAAAGACATTTATAACGTTACAAAAGACTTTCTATTCATCTGTGAATCCTGAAAAATAAAATGTATCCCGGTTTCCACAAAAATATTCAGCAGCACAACGGTTTTCAACATTGATAATAATCAGAAATGTTTCTTGAGCAGCAGATCAGCATATTATACTGATTTCTGAAGATCATGTGACACTGAAGACTGGAGGAATGATGCTGAAAATACAGCTGCACATCACAGAAATACATTACAGTTTAACAGAGATTCACACAGAACACAGCTGTTTTAAACTATAATAATATTTTACAATTACTGTTTTTACTGCATTTATGATCAAATAAATGCAGCTTAGATGAGCAGAAGAGATTTCTTTCAAAAACATTAAAAAACTTTCTGACCCTAAATTTTGGTTTTGAATAAACGTAGATTTAAAACACACATGGGTTTACCTTGATAATGTCCAATAAATGTGTTTATTTTATTTATTTACACTTCAGACACTTTGGGTTTAGTCAGAGAGCGGAGTTTGAAGAACAGAGAGACAAATAAACTTGATCATTAGTAGTAATGTAGTAATACAGCTTTTAATGCCACATCAGCATCTGATGATAGCTTCGTGGCAAAAACAGTTACAAAATATAAGACTTCCTGATCATATTAGAATTTATGAATTTGATTAATTTATTCAGCCAAAATGATGCACGGTTCTAGACACAAGGCATTGGTATATTGGCTAATTGTTGTGCCAATGACATAATGCAGTCTATGAAGTGTCCTTCATGTGTGAGAAATGGAAAGGAGAAACAAGAGAGAAAGAGGGTCCACTTACACATTTTCCACACGTACTCTCTGGTAGTCGGACAGAATGGCCCCGACAGACACGGCCTCAACACGCTCCTTCTCCTGAAGAACGAGAGGAAAGCAAGTCTAAGATCTGAGACGATAGATGAGAAGCTGCAGGTTCAAACTGCAGAGAGTGATCCAGTGACGCTGTGATATCATGTCAATGTCACACAAATATCACCGGCCTCAGACAACATGATGATAAATAAACACTAACACACACTGACATCATGACCAAATCAGACGCAACTCTACATTCTCATGTAATTAGTTACATTAATAAACTAACTGAAATAGTTATATAGTTAAATAGGGTGATTTCATTAGACATGATACATTTCGGTAATATGTTGTGTATCTTTCGATACGTTCTGAAGTTGTTCTGAATGTTCATTTTGTGCTATAACTAATAGTAAAGTGTAATAGTAAAGTGAAACTTTCACTAGAGTGGAAGAGACTCGCCCTGTCACGCCACATTCAAGAGCATCAAAACAGCATTTATTGTCTGAATTTTGTGATAAAATGAACAGATATGAGAGCTGAGACTTTGTTTCTTATCACAAAGCTCTTAGTGATTATTGAATGAGAGGTGCTATAAATAATGTTTGGTGAAGGGAAACCGCAGATCTGGCAACCCTGGCTTGAACTATAGGTTATTCACTGGGTCAAACAGAACCTGAGATAATGGCGCTGTTTGTTTAAGCAAACTTATGTTAATGCATACTGTGTTGACTGCCCTAAATTCTTCTCAAGAGACATTTTCTTTACACACAGTATGAGCTGCAGTATTTTCTGCCCACTTTTGATTGACAGGATATAATCGTCCCTGATCATCGGCTGTTCATAAAAGCCATCGGCTGATGTCAGACAGTGCTTTTATCAGCCAATACCGATTATTGGTTGCAATATCGGTGCATTCCCAATATATATCTCTCCTGTACGTCCACGTTATCCTCACAATCATTGAATCTGGAGGACCTCCGAGCCATGTGTGCAGCTCATCCCGGTGGTCAAACTTCAGACATGAACACAGCATCAGTGCTGGAACGCCGCTCAAGCGCTGTCAGACGCTCATGCCTTTGGCAAACCCAGATAAGGCCTATCTCTTTCCATCAGCACTAAACAAGATTGAGCAAACTACATTAGGCAGAAAATACAAACAAATTACAAGAGCTGTAGGCTACGCTCTTTATCTGGCACTGGGACTGTGTGTGTGTGTGTGTGTGTTTGTGTGAGTGTGTGTGTGTGTGTGTGAGAGTGTGTCCTGCCTTTACACACACACATCTGACATGATCAGAGTCTCGTTCAGCTGTTCCCATGAGGCAAACAGCAACCACACACTGTGTAAATATGAAATCAAACCCTGCGTGCCATTATTTTGTTCCACAAACACAGAAGAACTTCTGATGAATCTTCATGCTGCACACAAGCCTCTTCTGAAATCACAAGAAGCTTTGGAATGGAGGAGAGAATGACATCAAGTCATTATTCACTAACAATTAGGCCTGTGCCTCATGGACGAATCAATTCAATGCACAATTCACTGGGCTTTGATTCAATTTTAAAAAAGAGCCAATTCAGAACAATTCAATTTGACTCAACAATTTGATCTTATTAACAATTCAGTTAATAATTAATTGAAATACATTTACTGTAGGATTCTGTAAATGCTTCTCCCAATGCATCTTAGACAAGACAAAGAAAACAAACTACACCAGACTGTTTATTGAACTCAAAGTTACTTAAGTCAAGACACTTCCGGCAAAACCACTGTTTTCTCATTTTGAGATTTTGGTCTGTTTTGCTTCCATAACATGTCTCTTCTTTCAGACTAGTGAAAAGAAAACATACACAGTACACATGTAAGTGCATATTTTATTGCAGTTTATCTATTTGTGTCTGTAGATTTCAATTAAAATCATAATTAAACACCTTATTTATACATTTTACTCTTATAAACCAAGTGAACGTGTGTTTGTTTTCTGTCTGTTGACAGTATTTTCTGATTGAAGGAGTGATAATTTGACGACTTTGCCACATTCTTCATTAATAAAATTACAAACCTCAGTGCACAATTTACCACACCACAATCTGTCAAGACCATCTTACCAGCAAACATACACTCTTCTCTTCACTCTCGGAGGCAGAAGTCTCTAAACTCATCCTTTCCAATCCTCCTACTACTTGTCCGCTTGATCCTATTCCATCTCATCTCCTTCAAGCCATTTCTCCTGCAGTTGTACCTGCACTCACTCACATCAACACATCCCTTCACACTGGTGTTTTTCCCTCAGCATTTAAACAGGCTCATATAACCCGTATACTTAAGAAACCCACCCTTAACCCAACTCTTTTAGAGAACTACAGACCGGTTTCCCTTCTACCTTTCATTGCAAAAACACTTGAACGAGTCGTGTTCAACCAAGTCTCAGCCTCTCACGCACAGAACAACCTCCTGGACAGCAACCAGTCTGGTTTCAGAAGTGGACATTCGACCGAGACTGCCTTGCTTTCAGTTGTTGAAGCCCTAAGACTGGCAAGAGTGGCTTCCAAATCTTCTATACTTATCTTGCTGGATCTGTCCGCTGCTTTTGATACGGTGAACCACCAGATCCTCCTGTCAACCCTATTGGAAAATGGCATCTCAGGAACCGCACGCCAGTGGTTTGAGTCTTACCTCTCAGATAGGTCCTTCAAAGTATCTTGGATAGGTGAGGTGTAAAAAACACTAGCTTTCTATTTTTTCTATTCTATCTACTTGTATTTCTTTGTGTGTGCGTGTGTATAATATATACACATACATACACATACATATATACACATATATATACACACATATATATATACTGTATATACACACATATATACACATACATATATACACACACACACCTTGCTAGGTGTACTGCATTAGGCTAACCGAGACTTGTCATTTGCACTTATATATTGTTGCTCTTTTGTTAGTTTTGACTGCTTTTATTGTCCTCATTTGTAAGTCGCTTTGGATAAAAGTATCTGCTAAATGACTAAATGTAAATTATAAAAAGAGAAATCCAAAATCCTCCAAATTTCATGCTCTCAAAATTATTTCCATTCAAATGAAGAAAAGAGACGAATGAAGATACTGTGAAAATGAGAACATACAGGTTTGGAACTATTAAAAAGAAGGAAAGAAAGAAAGAAAGAAAGAATTAAGTTAAAGTATCAAAATAACTTAACTATATAATTCATAAAATATATAGATATAGTTACAAAAAACAACAAAAACACAATCTAATTACTATAACTTTAATATTACAATGAGAATGAAAAATATAAAGCTAAAAACTAATTTAAAATATTAATGACACTTCAATGGTATCTTTTTGGAACAATTAAACTTTATTTGGAGTACTACTTGTGCACAATGCACATTTCGTAATATTAAGCCTACAATGCATTTTAATGTCAATATTGATGATTGTATGATCTTTGAATAATATCGGTCTTTAAATGCAAGATATTTAAAGTGTACCTTGCAATAGCTCCACTTTAGCACAATCTAATATACTTCAGTATATCTTTAGTTAGACTTCAGCACTAACTTCCGCACAATTAAAGTGCATTAAGCACACAATTAGTTGTTCCAATTTAGCAGACTTACTTTAGTACACCAAAAGTACATGTTTTTATTAAGTACATAAATATGCACGTGTATTTATAGCATACTTAGCATGAAATAAATGTCTTTCGAATACTTATTTTTCACTAGGGAAATAATAAAAGCAGAACAAATGTTTGATTCAGAACGGATCGAGGCTGACGCAGTGATGTAAATGTCATGTCGACAGTAATCAAATAAATGTGGCGGCAGTGGCTTCAGCTGGAGCTATTTAATGAGACATTCCTCCGGCTGCAAACCCGCACAGGTAAAGCGCTGGTTCTAATCTGGACGAAAAACTTAGGGCTAGTTCGCAAAAGTAGGTTTTCCAAAAAAATCCAAAACGCCCGAAAGTGACGGTCAAATCGGAGTCGTGAGCCAAGGATTCCAACGGCATAACGATTTCGTACTTCTGATCACTGTAGCGCCCCCGTCAGGCCGATCGGGGCGAGCTTTGGTGACGTTGTAGACGGTGTGAGTACTACCATCCCTCCAAATCTCAAGTCTCTACGATTAACGGTTTGGTCTGCACGATCCCTTTTAGATCAGTTTAATGGCTCCTCGGCCATTATAACACTCACAATGGGTTTCAATGGTACACACTTGAACCCCTAACTATTGATAAAAATGTAATGTATCTGTTTGGAACGACACGAGGCTATAAATGATGACAGATTTTTTTATTTTGATTCAAATGTTTGATTCAGAACGGATCGAGGCTGACGCAGTGATGTAAATGTCATGTCGACAGTAATCAAATAAATGTGGCGGCAGTGGCTTCAGCTGGAGCTATTTAATGAGACATTCCTCCGGCTGCAAACCCGCACAGGTAAAGCGCTCTTCTATTAGCTGCGCTATCGATCGCCGCCGTCCTGGGAGTGACCCGAGAGCTCATCATTTATGCATTAAGCAGGTTTAAAGGTATCCATTTCTTTTTATGTTCTTTTTCAGCAGTAATGTGGAAGTAATCAGAGACGGTTTGATTTTTGAGAAATCCACCGCGGCTCGCCGGACACGGCCTTCTGAAGCCTTTCTATTAGCTGCGCTATCGATCGCCGCCGTCCTGGGAGTGACCTGAGAGCTCATCATTTATGTATTAAGCAGGTTTAAAGGTATCCATTTCTTTTTATGTTCTTTTTCAGCAGTAATGTGGAAGTAATCAGAGACGGTTTGATTTTTGAGAAATCCACCGCGGCTCGCCGGACACGGCCTTCTGAAGCCGCTGGATGAAAGTTGGAGTGGAGGAGAGAAAACAAAGGTGTGTTTGGACTGGAGGGCCTGTCGGACCCCGCTCTCGAGGGACGCTCGTCTGTCGATACCGGAGCGGGGCCCGCGGGGCTCCTTAAAGAGCAGCTTAGCTCCGCCTCTGATTGGTGTGTGTTTCTTACACGCGCCGGCGGAAGCAAGCGTTTGAAGGTGA